TAGTTCTGTTTTTAAGTTAGGGAGTTTTTATGCCTGCTAGCCTGGACCAAGGTTTGAGTTTTGAATATGTGTTATTTGTTTAAGGTGCACCATGTGCAGACGCTCCTGCTTCTCACTAACATGGGCAGCAGCTTTCTAATTAGACTGTTGCCATGCCTGCATTTCGACTGATTTCAGTGTTACAGTACAGTGAATGAAAGAGTATTATCGAATCATATCATTTAATAACAGCAACTAAGTTAAACTGTAGAAGATGGACTTACAGGTTCCAAATGTACGACACCAGTTGTGAATATTTGCATGACTGAATACGTCATAACTTGAGTAAGAATTTTAACAAATCTTTCTGCTTCTGTGAAATATGGATGTAATATGTTTTCATCCCACCACTTAAAGAATCGGATTTGAGAACTGTTAAGAACTAGAATCAACAGGTAGCCTCAATAGAACGTAGATGTTACCCAACCCTAGTCAGCATGAGGTGAAGGCAGGCTGAAGGTGTGTTTGGTGGAGCAGACCAGAGGAACTGTGCAGCAGGAGTTTGCTGTCTTGGAAGTTGGAATATGTGTGTTCTACACTGGAAGGCCACAAATATAAGGTCGATCTTATTCCACAACCTCTACTCATGATGGGCAACTGACCACTGTTCTCAAAATCAAACAGTCTCGAACTGGCCCTAATTTCATCTCCTCCCACGTACGCGCTGCAGCCTACTTCTGTATCAGCAATTCACCTGAAAGTGTAAACAGTCTATAGGCAGAGAACAGACCCAGACAGTTTACTGTGTGGGTCCATGTGATAAATGTGAACGATTACACCAGAAGTTATAAAGATGCAGCCAACAGTGCGTACAGTTGGTGGGCCAGAAAACTCAAATGTTGTGAAAAATGCAATTATTTCTACATTAGTTTCTCTCTCTGTTGCTCATAATTTTACCGCATTTTACTGAAGAAAAAAAGGCTGCATCTGGCTTAGTGCAACACTGTCTGGTCAAACAAAGGATGTTTCCTGATAGATTACAAAGAATTCTGCTGGTTACCTCATAACAACTAACTCTCCTGACTTGTAAATCCCTTTCTCACATTATTATAAAGCCCTATGCGGCGTCTAGTAAGGCTTTAGACACACCAACATGTGGACTTTCTGTGCCATAAATGAAGCCTTTTCTCTCTCATTCTTCTACCCATGCTGACATCCTTTTTCTCTCTTTATTTACTTCAGATGACACAGATACATTCACATTAGGCAGTTTCACTCACCCTCATAAAGCCTGCGATGACGAGGATCCAAAGACATGCGAAAAGCCTGTTAGGACAGAATAGAGCAGATATTACATCTCTCCTCCAGAGGGAGCCACTAGTCCGATGATGGCAACAACACAAACTTTAACCAACTATCAGCAGCAGCTACAAAACACTTGAGCTGGATTTATGGTCAGACAGGAGGTGTCCATCTGTAGTTTCCAAAACCATTAAAGTTATATTCATACATTCTTCGAGCTGATTGACTTGCTTTAGAATTTAACCAATGCTGGATTTTTGGGACCAAAGTCTTCCCCGATTACGTATGAAACCAAACTACTTTGAGTGTTCTACTCTAAATAGCTTAATATTCACTGACACTAAAGTTGTCTCTATATTGAGGTATTTTCAACAACAATATAAGAGAAGTCCACAGGAAACGTCTTACGTCCTCTCTGCTGACCCACACAGTGTTTTCACTATCAACCAAGTATAGAAATCTGTGCTACAGATTGGCTTCCAATTACTACTACA